ATCCTTAAACAAAGGCAGTGTTTTCCATGTGGTCCGTGCAGAGGAATTATCTTGATGACAATCGGCGCTAGAATCAGTTGAAGTAAATTAGAAGTCGGTCAGTGAATATTTAAGGTGTGATTAGAAAACTTTATTTATGTTTAGTATTTGGAGTATGTACGAGTAATTCAATGAGACTGTTATAGTTGCTGTGTTTAACTGCATTACCAAGAGAGGACTAGTGTGTGTGTAACAGCGAATTATAAAATGTAGAAATAGCGATAGCGCTATAATTACGTGTAATTATATTGGTGGTGCGTATAAGTGGTAAATAAATCGTTTCATAAAAACCCGAACCTGCGTTATTAGTCACTAATACACGTGACAATATATCTACATAATAAACAGGTTGTGTTTTATAGTGAAATATGTTAATTATCGTGCCAAGGTGTTGGAACAGATATTTTCAGAATGTCGTTTAGTTGTGCATTGTTGTATTCATATTTCATAGTCCGTGTCGTCGTGCATATAGATTAATCGCTCGTGGTTTATGGAAGTTCAGAAACCAATATTTTTGTTGAAGGGTGATTTATTTACCGTTATACATTAGACAGACCGCCTCTGTGGTCTAGTGGTCAGAGTTCCTGGCTACAGATCCAGAGGTCTCGGGTTCGATTCGCGGCGCTACCAGATTATCCGAGAAGTATTGGGTCTGGAACGGGGTCTACTCAGCCTCTTGAGGATATCTGAGGAGTTATTTCAAGGAAATAGCGGCTCCGGTCTAGAAAACCGAAATTAACGGCCATGGGGATCCGTTGCGCTGACCACGAGACACCCTCTAACCGCAAAAGTTGGCACTGACTTCGCGCGACAAGCGGCGGTTGCTGGGTATAGTTCGCTTACGGACTAAAGCCAAGGAGTTTTTTTATAGCATTAGACAATATATGGTACCGTGAGATCCGGTCATTCGAGCAATTTGCTGTGTAAGTTAAAATATTTTGTTAATAGTTCACATAATCTTGCAGATTTCGTTTCTTCCATGCATATTCTAAAGTGCACTGGGTGCTTAAGATTGGTATAAGTACCGTATTTGTAAAATTATATTTACACGCGTCTTTTGAAATATTATAATTTATAAGTATGGCAAGATATATTCCTGCTCCAAACAAATGAAAGAATACAACGAACAGGGTGAACAACCGTTTAATTCGTTTATGATAGTAAGTAAGCAAAATTCACCGCACCCACGAGACGTAAGCTTACACACTAAGGTTATCGTCACGTATCGTGATATGAACCACGGACCACGATGATTCCTTTCAGGTGTTCTTTATGCACAGAGAAAAAATAATATCATTCAAGCACATCATGAAGAGGGGTCGGTCAGTAAAGAGGCTAGTTTCGAGATTCAATTCTCAACAAGGACAGGGATTTATGTCTTCGTTACCACGTCTAGACTGACCCTGGGGTCCACGCAACCTCCACTTAAATGAGAACGCAACTCTTTCTCTAGGGCAGAGCGGCCGAAACGTCAATTTTACATCTCCCTCTGAGGCTAAGAATTCTTGGAGTTATGACTCCATTCCTGTACATTTCTTCATGTAATGGTGCACAGAGGAAAATTTTAAACTCTATAGGAACACACTGCTTTTAAAATTAGGTTGCTTTATCGGATTTTTATCAAATTAATTATGGGAAAAACGTCAGTGAAGCTTTGAAAAGGCAGATACTTTGCTTGATGGACTAAGTGTACGTATGTATTTTGCCTCTTTCTTCACTTATAACAAATGAAGCCTTTGGACTGTTGCGATACTTAATTCAATGAACGGTAAATCCTTCAGACATTAGGTAGGGCTATTATGTAGGAGATCGGCCCATCGCTAGGCCTATATCTACACAGGACAATAGAACGTAGGGAAATAGGGATATTTATTTGTGTCTGGGGGCATGTTTTTTTAATTCGCTAAGGGGGGGGATGAGAGATACGATGGGATGGTATGGGTGGAAAATATCTCGCTCAGGATAGGGACCGGTGGAGGGCTCTTGTGAACACGGTGATGGACATTCGGGTTCCATAAATTCTGGGAAATTCTTGAGTATCTGCAGAATTGGCGGCTCCTCAAGAAGAGCTCAGCTCAATGAGTAAGTACGTAAGTAAGTAAGTGGGGGGGGGGGAGTCCAGCTGGGTCCACTAGGCACTGCGGCCACTTATTGGTCTATTGTACCCCTCCCGGTTGATTATGATGATGGAGAATTTGGTGGAATGAAGATTGGCAAGGGAAACGGAAGTACTCGGAGAAAATCCGCCCCAGCGCCACTTTGTCCACCACAAATTCCATTTGACCAGACCCGGGATCGAACCCGGGCTGCCGCAGTGGGAAGCCAGCGACTAACCGCTTGAGCTATGGCGCGGCCTAGTTGGGACGTGTTAGTCACTCTATGTTACAGGTACTTGTAATATCTCTTAAAGACAGATGAGCTCTAATGACGAAGAATTTTATTTATATCTGCAATTAATATACTGAGCCCCTTGAGGGATACAAATTCGCAAAGAACGCTTCTTGGTAAATATTCGCGGATACAGGTGTCCTGCTCTTCTTTGATATCTTTCTTTGCCTCTGCTTTCTTAAATGTCTTAAATGCTGACATTAAGTTGTGTCTATTTTGATTAATCGATTAATTTGTTTGGATTTACTAGATATAATCCATACTACCAATCTGACATGTAAATACACCTCCGTGTTATGGTGTGTAATATTCTTGCTGATTCCATGGAGCAGAGTCTTACTTTTGAGGTCAGGAGTTGGTTCAGCTTACTCTTACTTACTTACTCATGGATCTGAGCCCTTCTGGAGGAGCCGCAAATTCTGCAGCTACTCAAGAATTTCCCAGCATTTTACGGAACCAGAAGGTTCATTACAGTGTTCACAAGGGCCCTCCACTGGTCCCTATCCTGAGCCAG